GGAGCACAGGCTCCGGACGCGCAGGCTCAGCGGCCATGGCTCACGGGCCCAGCCGCTCCGCGGCATGGGGGATCCTCCCGGACTGGGGCATGAACCCGTGTCCCCTGCATCGGCAGGCGGACTCTCAACCACTGCGCCACCAGGGAAGCCCACAAATGTATATTCTTGACAGGATAATGTTGTGGCAGCTGTTACAAACAGTGCACTCTGCATTTGCAAAGGTTGAATCCTTGTGCACATTTAACTGAAGAATAAGGAGTAAAGTGTCCTTGAAGGACTTTTACCCCTCTGTTAAAATAGATAAAGCAGGAAACCAAAGCAACCTCAATTTTAGTTTAAAAGTCTTCTTATGTAATATGTAGACATCACATTAATTTATCAGAAATGATGTAGTTCAAGCAAGACTCAGTAATTTAATGGTGGGGTTGTGTAGGCTAAAGATGGTCTCTTGTAGTAAGAAAAGGTAATTCATAATCACCCATGACTAAGGGAGGTACTGTTAAGAAAATATATATATATAATAGTTTTGAAAAAGATGAATGAAGTTAAAAGGGACAGAATTGTTTTGATTAAAATTTTTGTTTTTAATTATTTACAGTAAGAACACTGTGTCATCACTGTGTCATCTAGATACAGCAAACATTTGGTTACTTTCATAATCCTGGATTGGTGCTTTTGGGGATAGCTGAGGTGATTGACTTTCCTGTTCTTAGCACAGTGCATAATACATAGATGATTAATATTTATATGTTGACTGATTTCTTCTCTGAATCTGCAGCCTGAGTGCAGTCACCTTGTGTCAAATAAAAGATCCTTTGTAGCATTAATCACAGACATAATTAATGCTGAAGGTCATCTTTGTGAAGACTGTGATTCTCCCCAGCCACTTATCAAGTTCCAAATAGCTTTTCCCCTGGTTTCGGAGTATGGATTTCGTACCAGAATCTACTCTTGAAGTTTACCTCAGTAACTTCAGGAAACATTGGTGATTTGTGACTCTGGGACTACCTATACTGGAAGAGTCGTTACATCTAGTTAGGCTAATACTTGAAGATATGACCTTGATGGGCACAGAAACTGCATGGAAGTAAAGAAAATTTAAGGTATGATTCAACTTTATTCTTGAATTTTATGAACAACTGAAAATCTGAAAATGGGGTTTGTTATAGAAATGATAAGGAGAATAATAAGAAGTGATAAAAAGTATATAATACTGAAGGAGTTCACTGATCACTAATTAAGTGTATTTCTCTCTTCAGGTATAATTTGGCCTCCCGAGATTCTGTCTTAGCACGAAGAAAGTGAAAAATACTCTTGAAAAGAAAACTAAGACAATAAGAAAGCAAGACTTGCTTTTACATGGTTGTCAGCTCACTTACCAATATGGACACTTTCCCCACCATTTTTCCTCCTGGTGGAGACAGTGGGCTGACAAGTTCTCAATCTGAGTTCCAAAAAATGTTAATTGATGAGCGGTTACGATGTGAACATCATAAAACTAATTATCAGACTCTGAAAGCTGAACACACAAGGTAAATAAATTACTTAAATTTGGAAGTGAGAGGCTTGATTAAAATTTTTTATTTTGTCTGAATGTTTGCTCTGGAACATACAGTATAATTTTGTTATTTTGCAGTATACAGTATACATTTAAAACTTTTTAAATACAAGTAAATTTTCTTTAAATCAAGTGGATTATAAATTTATAAAAGTCTTGTTTTGAAAGTAGCTAGACATATAAAATTCAATGTATCTAGGTGGCTAAGTATGTTTTTTTTCCCTTCAAAGTAAAATTGCATTCAGAAATTACAGTGTTAATAATAAATGAAACTGTAAAGCAATTATATTTGTAAGTTTAATGAATATATGATGTTGATCTTGCTCTGTAGTGTTGGTTGACTTCACATAAAGTGATGCGATTAGAAAGCAAAGGATACACTGAAATTCTTCTTTCTAAAAAATCAGGTTGCAGGATGAGTACATAAAGTCACAAAATGAGCTCAAGCGCCTATTAAATGAAAAGCAAACTCATCAGGAAAAATTTCAGCTGCTGCTTGAAGAGCTACGAGGGGAATTAGTAGAGAAAACTAAAGACTTAGAAGAAATGAAGCTGCAGGTAAGAAAATATATTCAAATTAGTATAAAAGTAGTCAGATATTTAGTGGAAATAAATAATTTTGGTAAATTTGGTAAATTTTCTCTATATTCTTAATGAATATTTTGTTGTATCTCTGGGTGGTATAACTTAATCTTCTTTCATGTACTCAAGAATCTTAGCTACCCTGTAGGGTTTAGCCACAAAACTGTTATTTTAGGTAAATTTGTATTATATTTCCTGTTCTGATTTAAATAATATCTCACTCTTCAGAATAATTGGAGGAAAGGCCAGTTTGTATTGATAAAAATTCACAATTTAAAAATATTTTTAAAAATAAAGGTATATTGGATTTAAGTACTGATCTAGTGCTTGTTACAATAAGGCATTATTAATATTGGAGTCATGGGTTGATAGAGTGAAAAGCTATCTTTCAAGTCATCCAGTGTGGCATATCATCCAATTCATGTGTTCTTTTGACAGCAGTGTTAAAGGAGTTTGTCATTCAGTATTATCTCGAAATCTTCCGTTGTTGGAAACACCACCACTTAAGCTTGGGTTGGAGCCTCCACTATGTTTACTGTTTCATTCCTAGGTATACATATTTAGGACATTTAAACAAATAAAAACCTCAGAAATGTGAGTTGAAGAGGGAAATATAATTTAAACCGTTAGAATTGGTGGATTAATTTGTTTTGCAAAAATTGAGGCCTGTATGAATGCCATCTGTGAGCACTAAACCCAGGGTATTCAAAGTATTCTTTTCAGGCATTGAAGATATAGTCACTGTTTCTTGAGAGTAACATGTAGACATGCTTATTTGTAATAAGCACATGCAAAATAGCCTAAGAAGACTAGAGTGGCTATACTAATATCAGATAAAATAGACTTCAAGACAAAGAGTATCATTAAAGATAAAAAGAACGTTTTTATAACCAAAAAAAAGGGTCATTTCACCAGGAAGGTGACGACCTTCAACAAATAGTTATGTTTCTATTCCTTAGTTTTCTCACGTGATAAAGGGCATAAAGGTTTTTATCTAACAGGGGTTGCTGTAAGGACTAATGAGATTATAACCTGTGTATTTTCAATATGGTGTCTGGCACATAGTAGCTACTCATAAATGATGGCAGTTTTTATTCTGTTGGAATACAGACTCCATGAGGGCAGGAACTTTTTTTTAGTGTGTCTCCAGTGCTCAGGATGGTGCCTAGCAAGTATTTGTTAAATGAATGACATGAATAAGTAGAATAAATGAGCGAGTTGGAATTGTTCTATTCATATATAGTATAATGTTGCACTTGTTGTCTCATAGGTATCTAGAGCCTTAGCATCTTAGAGTTGATAATCATCTAGTTCTCTTTCATATCTGTCATGAGTTGAATTGTGTCTCCGAAAAGATAAGTTGAAGTTCTAACTCCCAGTACCTCAGAATGTGACCTTATTTGGAAATAGGGTTTTGCAGATGAAATTACTTACGTTAAGATAAGGTCATACTGAAGTATGACAGGCCCTTAGTCTAATATGAGTGATGTCCTTAATAGTAAGAAGAGAAAAGACATAGAGACGGAAACACATGGGTGTTGGTGGAGCAGAGAGAACGTCCTATGATGACAGAAGCAGAGATTGAAGTGTTGCAGCTGCCAGGGAATGCCAAGGATTGCCAGCACATCAAGACAAGCTAGGACAGGGCAAGGAAGCGTTCTTCCTACAATTTTCAGAGGGAACACTTAGCTGACACCTTGATTTTGGACTTCTGTCCTCCAGAACTGTGAGGCAATAAATTTCAAAGCAGAATTCCTGTTTGGAACTCTTATGACACAGAGCTCTTCATTCTGTGCTTCAGTGCCTTCAGTGCTAGAGAACCTAGTGAATTGTAAAGTGATATGCTTCCATTTATGCATTGGAGGATGTTAAGCATTTTCTCTATCACATTGAAAGGAAATCATCCTCCCTGTAGCCTCCCGGTTGGTTATTGCAGTGTTCCTTGGACCTACACAAAATAACTCTGGATATTTCTTCATGTGATAACTTCCCAGATGTTTGCTGATAAATGAAATTTATCTGATAAAGTTTCTGTTTTTCAAGATAAACATATCTGATTTCTATGTGATATTTACCTGGCAGAAATAACTGAAAGAAGCATTTATACATAAACACATGTATTGAAGCAGTTTAGCTATTTGCTTCAGTGGGTGTTTGCAATTTGTTCAAATTGTGAGTTAAGTAAATTCAGCAAAGTAAAATCAGCAAGAAATACTTCAATGAAGGTTTTATGAAAGATGATTATTTTAAAAAATACACATGTATTGTCTACCTGCAAAATGCCTTTTTTTTTTTTTTTTTTGCGGTACGCGGGCCTTTCA